GCTTGACTACGAAAAAAAAAATATGTACAAAATCGAATTATTTATTTAATTGAATTAATGTCGAATTTTGAGCGTGTACACAATATAATAATAATATATAGTGTTACTATTATTACGAATTTTTTACCAAAACATTTCTGACATCGCTGCAAACTTGGTTACATATATTTTATCTTTACGATATAATAAAAACTAATTTAACTTTGAACGGTAATATTATACCGGGGGAGATGACATATTTTTTTTCATTCCCCCTCTCCTCCCATGTATGCATATAATTATTCCTTATTCGCCTATACGCATATACGCATATCGCGCATATACCTTCCTAAACAAATTACTCAGTTTGTCAGACGAGAATATTATCGTACGGAAAACCCGACGTACATAATACTGTAATAATATAGTAAACGGTAATAAATAAAAGGATGGTAACCGTTTTGTTTTGTTGTTTTTTTTTTTTTTTTTTTCAGCTCACAACTTACTTCCGAACTCTGTAATAATGAATTTTGCGCTCGCGCTACAGAGAAACCGCAACGGCGGCGGGTTCGGGGGCGGGACTAAATTATAATATATTATAATATGCTCTTGGACCAATATTATTTTTCAGATCGTAATTTAGTCCCTCTCCTCCGTGGACGAGAGATGCTCGCTTACGGATACCGCGTTTTTCCGAAAGTTTAATATTCATAAAATAAAATAATACCGCCGTCGGTGTAATAATATCCAAACGTAATTATATTCAAAATAGCCGCGAGTATAAAATAATATTGTACAACATGAGTACAATGTGTATACAAAAACGTCCCTGTATATTGTATATAGTCATACGCGCATTATCAGATATCCTACGCTAACGACGATAAACGCGACGATGTTCTCGAATAACACTTCGTTATTATTATTATTATATTGTAAATTGCGTAAAGTTTTAATTCGTATAGATTATCGTACGTATAATACTACGCCGCGTATTAATGTATATTATAATACTATACCCATACCCCTCGAACACGCCCTCACGAACCGAGTACCGACAACCATAGATATACCTGTATTATGCACGGCCTGAACATAAAGTTCACCGTTTTTCGTATATTATCGCGTTGTGTACATTGGTTGTATTATTACAATAAAGTGCGTCCGAGATCGAATTTTTAAAAGCCACTCGCGAGTAAAAAGTAATCGTAACGGTACACGGACGGACGGGACGACGACTCCTCGTAGTTTTCTCCGAGGAATTGAAAATTACAAACAACGTACACATTATGCACTATATACCTATACCTACCTGTTTTCCATTTACTTATTAATTAAAAATGTACGGGCAAACATAATTCTTAATGAATCCTCGTTTTTATTCCCCGCATTATACCCGGTAATATCTATTTAGACAACGAACGTCTCTCTTTCCTTTCTCTCTCTATACTCTCTCTTCAAGTCGTCCTTCGTCTCCCTCGGTACCCTACACTTGCGGATCTTATAAACTACAATGTATAATAGTAATACTAATTATAATAATAACATCTTTACATCGTAATTAAAAATCGTTATAGGTGTTGTGGATATAATATTATTTTTTTACGTATACCTAACAATATCGCGAGGGAATTATAAAAAAAAAAAAAAAATTAATTATATGATGCTTTCATTAATCCAGTAATCCTGTACAAGGTTTATATAATACTGTCTAATTAAGAAAATACTACTAGCCAAAGTTTTTAAAACCAAAAAGAAAAATTTTGCGAAAAATCTACGGATCAAACAAATGATAGAAATATAAAAGAGTGGTAAAGGAGAGAGAAATCTGACCTATTGGATGCTTTATTTCAAAGTATTAAAATTAGGGTTTTGATTACGAAATATTTCAAACATGGAATTTCACACTGCTTGAAGTATCGGTGAGACATGCTTGTACGAGTTATAACAAGCTAATCGAAATAGCGACGGAGTTTAATTCATATGAAAAAATACCTCTAATAGGAAGGTCCAAAACCTTGAGATGGAAAAATGGTAGTAATAAACAACTTGCTAGAGGTTTGAATTGGAATGCTATGAGTATAAAAAAGGCTGGGAAATTGGATGTGATTTAGAATAGTATTTACTTTTTCATAGACCTAAATGCCAGAAAAGAAGAAGAATTAAATAGATAATAATATGTTGTAACACGTTTTTATTATTTTATTTATTAACAAAAATACAAAATCATCGTTTTTTACCATATAAAACTAACACAGTGGCCTATTTATAGGGATTTAATCACTCCGGGTTAAGTTCAAATATTGCACCCTAATTGCTTACTCGACTTTTTCCTTTAATAAATTTATTTTAAATTCTTCGCACGACGCAAATCAAAATGATTTAAAGTGGCTATCAATCCCATGCTTCAAGTTCAAAATACATATACTTATTGTAAAATGTTCCCCATCAAATACAATAACAATTTTAAAATATGTGAATCACAATTTTGGTGGCTTGAGAAAGTTTCCCCTCCCACCCCTATCAATCATTATACTACCCATTACTGAACTCATTATAGACACGCTTCTGAACCAACATCAGAATTTCATAGATATTTAAAATGTAAGTAAAAAACGGCAGAGTATACTACATTAACGGATTCAACATGAAATAATTGTTGACTTTATAATAATATTCAAATCGATATTTACACAATGAAAACTATGACGTACACCAAAGGTGAATATTATATATGTGCCGAAATATCATAAAACAAATTATGATGATGTACAATCACACACGAAAACATGTAAATTTAGTCAATGTAAAACACTAAAACCGGTTTTATTACATAACATTATTATTTATTTAGACATTTTTATATTTTATCAGCAATAAATGCTATGGTCAGATTTACAACAATTTTACAGTCTAATATTATTGAAAGAACTTTTTTTTTTTTTTAAAAAAAATTTCTTATTACATATAAAGACAGCCTATTGAATATTCAAAACCAGGGTCAAGTTTTGAGTAACACTTGTACCTAAGTAAAATGCATACCTATTTGGTGAAATTTGTATTCGCACAAAAAAACGGTAAAGAAATTTTCCAAGGGACATTATAGGAAAAACAAAATTAATTTAAAAAAAATAGAACTAATACTGCTGATAGATGTACTGCTGTAGTCGGTAAGAAGTTAAGAAGAAAGTATACATACAATTAATTAATTTACAACTGTACGCAATGATAAATCATTCCTAACAAAATACGTTTCTAAGCGAAGTCCGATTATACGTGTTTGAACTTAAAACTTTTATAAAAAAAACTACCAAATTTCACTCAACTTTTCTTTTACCACTACGTTAAGCTTATAATGAAACTCGTGTATTTCTGTACTGTAAAAACAATTTTATCTACATAAAACCAAATAAAATCCAAATAAATTTGAAAATGTTAAATACCTATAAATAGCTCAAAATTATCAGAATATTTCATAAATTTTACCACGTCTATAAAAGATCAGTAAAATTATTCTTTGTAAATTACAGATAACTATAGTTTTTTTTTAGTCGAATTACAGTAAAAAAAAAAAAAATCGAAAATAATGACGATAATAATTGAACATCAATAGTCACAGAATTACAAGCGATTTTGACTAGTTTTCCAAAACCATAATATCATTAGCTTTATATATCAATAAGCTTTATTTGTATTTTGTTGGCGAGGGATGGTTATTCTTTAAACGGAGTAGCAAATGCCCCCTCCCCCCCGCTCCAGTGCCACTAAACATGTCCTCGTGAAACGAACGAGTACAGATGGCCTGTCACCACATTATATTTGTATTTATTTTTAACACACCAAATTTTAAATCTAAAAATCGATTTCTTAAATAACCTAGACAATTTTTGCTAACAAATCCGTATATATATACTTAATAAATTGAAATCAGAAATTGGAAAGTATATACCTAATTTCCCACCGCCTATTGTTTTAAAACGTTATATTCCGATATTCGTATAAACCGGCTGAATTTCTCCCCCTTAAACGGGTATCGGGGCAGTTCAGTAGCGGAATGCGCTTATAAGTGAATCGAACTATAAAAGGTATAAAATAGTTTAAAAACTGTACACCATATCCCTTGCCGTTTACAGGCTTAGGACTGGCAATGATTTTTGGCGTAGATAAAAATGAGTTTTTTTTTATACGTATATTTGCATAATAAAACGGCGTTTTTTAAACTATTATTATTATTATAACAAAGCAATTTTAAAACACGCCAATGATTAAACATTGCAAGTCGGAGGAGAAATGAATATTTTTGAACGCACTCATTAAATTTAATTTGTTTTTTTTCGAAAATGTTCGTCCAAACACCATCCGTGACCCGAGTGCAGTTCGATCATTACCTGTTTTCGATCCGCACGCGGTTCGACCTTACCCCATAATAATATGACACACGGCGGGCGCGTAGGTTGCCCACACGTGGTTTTCTAGTATGTATATATTAAATGGCGTAAACGTGTATATTATAACCGCTCGCTTGCTATTAATGTAAACACGGTTAACTGTATTACTACTATATAAGACAACGTTAGACGTTTTCCGTAAAACGACACGTCATAACGTGTCTCGTGTTGTACATACTCGCAACACACAAAATGTCAACCCAACTCGGCAACTCGCAGGCTCCGTATGATAGTGCTGTGCGCACAACACACATTTTTGTACTCGTATTATATAACTCCATATGCATATTATTATTTGTATGTTATACATTTATCATCATTTATACTGCACGTATAATTTACACGGTTTTTTTTTTTTTGTTTGTTTTTTTCCACCACCAGAGCAAATACATTCTAATTTCACTATATGGCGCGCGACGACGGCAGCGGCGACGGCGGCGACGGCAGCGGCGAACGGTAAAACAATTATTAAGAATATTATTGTTATTTTTTTTTTTTTTTTAACGAGAACGTGTACATATATATATATATTTATTTTTTTACGGAAAATTAAATTTCGTACGATTTAGAATCTGGAGTTGTTTGACACTGGACAATGTAATATTTATATCGATGGCGGTTAGGTGGTGAATACGTTTACTTATTCGATTTCCATGAAGGAAGATATTAAAGAATATACATTTATTGGAGGTGTCAAATTTTTTAGATTCTGATTCAGTGGCGTATCTAGGCGTTCTCAATGAGGGGATGGGGAAACCACAGAACATTGCAGGTGTTTTGTACATGGTCGCTTTTACACTCCTTGTACAGAATATAATATATTCAATATATTGTATTGCTCGTGGATAAGCCATTGGCGTAGGTGGGACATTGTTATGATAAGATAAATCTATAAGACGTAGTTTTTTTTTTACACATTTTCTCTGCATTATGAATATGCTACAAGGAAAAACCAAAAAATGGCTTTTTTACTGTAGCAACCTAATGAAATTACCTAAAAAAAATACTCTCTTATCGGTTTTAGATTTCTGGGAGACAGACAAAAAAATAAATCATAATATAACCAATTGGTTCATCGCTACAATCAGATTTTTTAAAAAAAACCACATACGCCATAAAAACTAAATTGACATAAATATGAAATGGTTGAAGTAAAACTATTTTTTAAAAATAAGGATAATGAACTGATAATAACCAAAAAAAAAGGAAAACTAATAGCTCTTGTTCTTCTTTGACGAAATCGCAAAGCTAACTCATAACACACAATCGTTTACAGGTTATTCAAATTTCAAAGAAAATATAAATACTGTGAGTCTATGTTGACGAGGGAAATAACAAAAAAAGTCAAATAATCAACAGATTTTAATCCTTATAATTTCGGTGTAGAGGCGATTAGTGCCTATATCTTGTCAGTATGTTATCGGCAATAATTGTATCATTTGGTTCTAAACGAGTCCCATTAAAACACATATAATGTTAAAATATGATTCGGTATTTACAAACTAGATTTCACTATTATTAAAAAAGAATTACTCAAATGAGAGTTTAGCAACAAAATAAAAATATCTAAGTATGGGTACTTATTGAAGCCTTAAAATCTAGAACACGAGAATTTTAAAGTTACGTTACATAATATAAATATTATGTACATTCGTATTTGTTTGAAACCTATCTTACTTTATAATGAATGCCGTCGCATAATATGACGTCACACTAATCGCCTCTATTGTTGCTGTTGATTGTTTACTGTATCTAGTGTTGATAATATTATGATGATTGATGGTATCAATCTATCTCGCTATCCGACGTGTGGATAAGCATCAATTATCGTTATCATCAACTAAACTATTATTATTATCATTTTTATTATACTTATTATTAAGAGGACGCTGTACCCGCGTGTCGCCTCAGCTCCGTCTTACAAACGTATTGTCTCACATTTTCGTTCAGTAGGGACAAGATAGCGCTGTTAGTTTTGATATTGGAGCGAATTGCCATGTTATCAAACTTAAATGTAAAAAACATTATCTGTGCAACGTTGGCACTTTGTTACGCTTATAATATCTTGTTTTAAAACTAAAATATCGGGAAAACAAACGTTACACAAACATCGTTCTGTACGTTGTATAACAGGCGAATTCGTTGTGATATAGAGACTAACATCACGAAATATGTATCCCTCCCGAACGCAAATTCGTCACGTCGTACGTTATTTGTGAGACAGAGACAGCACGCGCGGGCGTCACGTGGAAAGTCCGGGACGAGTCCGAGTGTGATTTCCGGTCGAAAACTCGATAACATAAACGTGCGGTTTGTTCTTTTTTTCAATTTTATTTTTTTGTTTTTCATTTTAATCGCGCGCGTCGTAGTAAAACCGCGATAGATCCGTAGCAGCGGCTCGGAACGGATCGAATAACGACGGCGGTGCGAAACCCGTATACATTATTGTATTACGACAATGGTAATAATGATAATAATAATAATAAATCCGATTAAACGCGTGTAACTTCTATTAGGTACCGTATAATAATAACATTATGATAGAACCCCGGGGCTCTCCTGTTGTTGGGGAAAGTAATTCCGCGGCCGCGCGCAAAGTTTCGCGCAAGAACCGCGGCGGCGGCGTTGTCGCGCGACCGTATCGCGCGGCGCCGGGCGACTTTAAACCCGACCGCAGCGACGCCGTGCCGACCCGACGCTCAAGTCGCGGGGATTAACCGCGCGGCGGTCGCGGCGCGCGGGACTCCGCGGGCCGGTTATTGAACCCGATACGCGAGCGGCGATATTATTATTATGTTAAATAGCCGAGAACCGTCGCGGGATTCCGGGAGGGGAACGGTTGCAGTGTCCGTACCCTGCGGCCCTGTCCCCGAAACGCGTTTTGTTTTTATTTATTTATTTTTTTTTTTTTTCGTCTCCCCTCGTATACCGCGCGTACAACGCCGTACGTCAGCCGTCGAAATATCCGGGGCCCTTTGCCGCGAAATCGACGACGCTCGTACAATGGGTCGCGCAGGCATAATAATAATACCCGACGTAGCCGCGAGGACAAACTCCGTAGATTATCGTTACTGTTTAGGGCCCGGGTCGCAATGTTACGCGGAGACTTCAAAGGCCGAACCTCTTATTTTTTCTATTTTTTTTTTTCTCTCCGTCGTTCTATCAATCATATTAATTATTGTGCGACATACCAGGGTGACCGTGCGTCATCGCACTGTTGTACCGACGAACTTCTTTCGGGACGCATTTTTCCCCCTTTTTTTTGTGTCGATGCCAATTGTTCCGTACCCAATTCTAGGTGTAAATATTTTATAGTTTCAACATACGGATTGCGATTTTATTTTATTTTTTTCATAAAATAATATTCGTTTTAGACTACGACAGTGATTGCGATTGTATTCATGACAAATAATAATCTAAACCGGTGATAATGTATCTCGAGATTTACGGGTATATTTAAAATACATACGCAGTTAATAATGTAGACATGATTTATCATGAAAAATTAACAAAAACTGTCCGATAAATATTTAATAAATATTACTTTGAATGTATTATTAAAATAATTTTGTTTGCGCTTTTTTTAAAAATATCGTCACCATACATTTTACGAGTATAATCATGACCGGATCACGGTGGGAAGGAGGGTGATGAGAGCGATCGCTTCCCCGCATGCATTTTTTAAAATTATTACTTACTGTTATTATTTTATTACTAATGAAAAATACTTATTATGTTTTACATGAAATAGAAAAATTTACTTCGTCTCATAATTTCTCAATAAATAATTAGTCGTTTTTAAATTTCAGACTTGTTTTTAATTCTTATTACTATTCTGATTATCTGATTGCGTATCGCCGAAAATCGTTCAATCGCTGATAATAAATTATTAATAGCCACAGAATATGTCGGAGAAACAGCAGAACACACACATTATCTTATCTGTATTTTATAAAACCGACGATTTTTATATTAAACTCGGTAACGGGCGATGGACCCGGTATTTTTATTTATTTATAGATCCTATATTAATGTATACGTTCGTATTATATGGTAGGTTTCGATTACGTTAATGTACCTATACCAGTGTTTCCCAAATGGCGAATGGAAGGGCGTGAACTGCTGTGTGCTGGGGAGACACAAGCAGTCACATCACGAAGTAAAATTTTTATTTATCAAATTATTTGTATTCTACAATGTAGAGTGAAAAAAAAACATTTAATAATGACCGGTGATTGGATAACGATAAAGATTACGAGCAAGGTCGTATTTCGGTAGGGGCGATAGGGGGCAAGCGGTTGCGAATTTTTTTTTATGCTCATTATGTTATTTTTAAAAGAAAAGGGGAGGGACAGGAGATTTTTAAAAATCTACAAAGGGGTCGTTAAAATAAAATGATGCGGGGAACCACTGACCTATGCGATAAGAATAAACGGAGAACTATACGATAACGGGAGTGAAGCGACGTCGTGCCTTGGGTAAATGGAACTTTTATAAAATTTTAAATAGCCGCCCAAAGTGTAGATAAACATGTTGGGCATTTATCCACAAGTATATTTACCCGCTCAAAATCTCAGTAAATGCGTTTCGCATTTATGTTTATTATTTATCTATTACAATAATATGCAAGTAGGTAATTAATAAATATGAAAAAAATAAACAATAAGTTCGCGTGGCCGTGTATGACGTACAGAACACGTTAAAAATAAGTTTAATCCGATTTACCCGGGAAAATGTTTACTTGCGGTGAATGCCCATCGCCAAGTGCGCGTATCGAAAAAACTGTTTTAGCTGTTCTGTCACGGGTATACGCGTTATACGCGTTATCTATCGCGGTCGATCGGTCCGCGCGCGAAAACGTCACCTGCGCAAGTGACATTACGGACAACAAACCGACGTCACTTTTTCTCTTTTTATTTTTTTTTTCCGTCTATCAGAACGAGTGTTATTATATTATTCGCGTATACCGTCTGATACGATTTTAAACGACGCGCTCCTTTTGAACAACGACCACGGCGTATTATACATCAGTTGCAGACTCGTGTATTATTATTATTTTCAATTGAACCGCTTTTATGCGTTGGAATATTATACGGTATATTAACGAACTACGTCGTTCGATTATCATTTTAGAAAACGAGTAGTGTAGTGTGCACAGTATTTTCGACGGAAACGAATTACATACACACACACACACACACACACACACCCCTCGCGATATTACCGAAGCCACAGGCCTGGCCAATCGCGTGCATCGAACACGCACTCTTTGATCTGTACGGACGCGCTTCATCGCCACACACAGACACAGAAAATTTAATCAAATCGAATTCCGCATCCGTGTGTATACACAAACAACATAACGAGTTGTTGTGATATTATTATAACGACATACTCGACCGAAACGCAGCTTATTATAAAATTTAAATTTAAATTAAAAAAAAAAAAAAAAAAAATCGATTTATCATATAAGTATAATCAGTTATTTGGGGGGCGTACGCATTTCCGTAACTATATTTTATTGAGAGAAAAAAAAAATTCTAAAACAATATTTATTTTTATCGTCACTTTTAAGCCGCGGTCGCACGATCATATAATTTATCGCGATAATTACCATCATGACAGCATAATATGATACTTTACCTTCATTATCATTGTTTTTCATATCGCCGTTCACGCGGGTAAACATTGAAGTCATTACTAGTCATAATAGTATTCATTTAAATTTAAATTTCATTTCAATTTAACGCTTATCACTATATCATCCGTGATGTTGAAAAATACAAACATTTTTTGTTCACATTATGATAATTACTATCATTATCGCGACAGAACTAAAAACTATCATGCATTCATAGTAGTATCTATCGTAGTGGTATGATAGTGTGATAGTATTATTCACGCGGTGATAGTATGGTAAAACTCTCACGATAACAGCTATCATTATGGGTTACCAGGATTAACCATCATCGTGTGACCGTGGCTTTAACCACATTCTTTTAGTGTTTGTATGTAAATAACGTTTTTTAACTATTCTTCAAATACTCGGCCAACAGGTAAAATAATTGTTGTTCACTAAAAACCAGTGACGCACTTTAAACAAACAGCGGGGTGTGCTAATATTTTTTTAAAAATAGGGTAATATTGTAACTTAAATCCCATTAGACCTCCTTTCCGTAAACACACTATTGCAAAAAAACGAAAAAATACACATGATGATATTTACGGATGAAATGTCGGTATTTTCCGTCATATCTGAGCGAAAATATTCAATGACGTAAATATATTATCAATATTGTAGTTATCAGTGTATGCTCGTATTTGGACGTATACTAGCGTAGCGTTTATTTTCCAAAAGGTATCATTGACAAATAATACGTTATGAGTATATACGCCCGTATAATACACCCTCCGTATAATACGCCCTCCAATACGCCACTGACGCTCATAAGACGAACGCGCGATTTTGTTTTCACTTAAAAAGTCTTTCGGTTTGTCGCACGTGTTCGACATCGATCGATACAAATTATTGTCGTTCTTTCGTCGCCGGCAAGTCATCCATATTTTTATCATCTCAATACACTTACACACTTTCGATAAAACCTTTCCGCGCGCAATAGTTCATTTTATGTGATTCCACGTCGCCTTATAAAACTCACTCGTTTATAGTATTATATTATGATGACATTAATACACAGAACGTGTCATCGTCGTTATCGCCCGAAATCACTTTGCTCGCTATAATTCTAAAGTTTTAAAATGAGTAGTCATCTGCCGTGCCTAGTGAATAATTTAGAATTTACGGTTCTTCTGTTTTTTTTTTTTTTTTGAAAAATGTTTAAAGTTTCACAATATTTCTTAAGTATATATATGCCGCTACCCTTATCGTATAATATCAAACCGACGTTTTACTTATATTTGTTACGCGTTAAATAAACCCTCAAACAAACTTGGGCATTGTACCAAACGCGTTTGGCATCGTCAATAATATTTTCATTTTGCAAAAAAAATAATATCTTCTCCCACTGCAGTTTTTATCCGTCGTGTCTCCCGGAGGAATGAAGTGACATAAATACTTTACGTCCGATTTATTCGACTTCTTTCCAAAACAAGTTACCATTGAATTACTTACAGTCGCGTCTATATAGAATAACCGAGTTTTCGGGCGATCGGGTGTAACATAGAAAAATTTTAATCCGTCAAAAACCGAAAGTCGAGGTAAAGTTTTCAATTAGGTACTATACATTAACTTCCTATAAGCGAATTTCTTCGCACGTTTTAATCATTTAAACCTGTTACTACTCTGGCGTAGGCCGCTATTGCAAGTGAATAGTTGAGAAGGCACGGATATACAACCCTAATTTAGTTTATATATTGTATGGAACGATAAATCATTGCACACGAAACAGGATTCACAACGGAGTAGTACTGTAGCATATAGTGTTTTTTCCATGTTGCCCAAGTAACCAAAAAAATCAACAAAAATAAAATAATAAAATACCTATGACATTTCTTGTATGGTCAAGATAACCCATAAATTAAAAAAAAGAAAAAAAAATGATTCTTCATAATATGTTAGGAATTTAGAAAAATGTTTCGAACCAAGTATCTTAGGGGGAAAACTCACATATTTTAATGTACGATGTGAAAACACACTAAATCTAAAAGTCTACGGCACGTAATAACAATAATCTGGTTACTAATTCTATTTCTTTATTTTTTCTAAGAAATACTATTGTTCGTTTTATGTAATACAAATGATTACGTACCAAGTAATCGTAGAAAATATCTCAAATTTGGAAGGGAGGGTTAAAACCCCCGACTATCACCCCCCGATTAGCACAACTGGGTCGATTCACTGTAAAACTACGACGAACGGCGGAAAATATTTGTCCCGCTGAACGCAAATTCGCTATGCCGTGCGTTTGTAAGACGGCGATACAACGATATGACAATAGTGACGGACAACGTGCAGTTTACGTGTGTACCGAAAACATTTTTATAAACAAACGAACAATTGAACACGTCGCCAATGGAAATGCAACATAAAATTATATTGTTTATCGCGTTTTAGAGAAGGAAACCGTTGTATAGGTATATAATATACTTGTGATAATAGCAAATAACACACGACGACGTGTAAAACGCACTGCTGTACCGTCGTGTAATCACGTTAATGAAACGCGTTCGATTCGAACACCGTGTGTCGTCATTAATGTAACGTATGTGCAAACGATACATAAATTATGTCAGAGAGTCGGTACACTCCGAATAGGTAATAATAATAATTATCGTATGTACTATGGCTAAATATACAGGCATATCAGCGAGATAACACTGGGCATAAAACATCATGGCCGCCATTGGCGTACATGATAGAATCAATAATATTATTGACGATTTTTTACGAGGAAATTGCGGCCGCGACAATTTATAATTTTTTTTTTTTTTACGAAAACATCTTTTGATTTGATTTACAAAACACGTCGGATAGGTAATTGGAGAAAGCGTTTTATTTTTAAAACAAAAAATATCCGTCGAAGGATAATATGATCGTAAAAACAGTGCAGAAATTATATATTATGCTTTCCGGATTCGAACGCGGGTACCGAAAGTATGCTACCCGTGACATTGACTATTGTGCCACGACATTTATTGACTTAATTTTGTAAACATTTACATGATAGCAGTTATGATAGAAACGGAAATCACGACCAATGAAAACGCTGTATGAAAAAATACATGTAAAAATGCTGTGATAACGCTATCATCCGAGCTACCTTGATAGCCTCGTGATTTTTTTAATCTCAAAGTAATTATTATACGATACCGCGATGTCTTGACAGCTGCCGAATTGATATCAAATGCATTATAGGTGGAAGTACCTTTAATTGATACAACACTATAACTTATTTATGTATTATGTATTGGTACTTATCAGCTATCACGAAAATGCGGTTACGGAAAATACGAAATACCAAAATATGGTACAATGATACTTCAGGAGGGATCGATTTGTAGTTATGAATAAGCAGTACAACAATTTAAAAAACAATTTCGTATAGGTTGGCAACATTGAAAATTGTGACTGGCCTATTATAAATTTTCTGAAAACTGTAACTTTACGATTGTCGTCGTCGGTGAAATCACGATAACAACGTCAAATTCTACAACAATTTTATTACTATTATTATTATTAGGGTTCGGATTTTAAAGCATATGCTTCGTTTTCTTCTGTACGAGAAATCCAACGTTTATACATAAATTCGTTTTATCGTCATTGTGACTCAACATATACATTTTTTTTTTTTGCTTTATTACAATTATTACACTTGAGACATTTTAATTATGTTTATTTTATCGCAATAATAAAGCGATTTGAATTTAATTGATAAAAAATGAAAAAAATCGTTTCTTAGTCGGGTACATAAATTTATGACAGTAGGTACAGCGTACAACTCTCAAACAGTGTCAAAAACAGAATACGAAACACGGACTACGGTTTAATTGTTTTCATTCGTCTATATCGATATTTTGTTGATAAACGATTTCATCAATGTCATTAATAGGTATTAATTACCTAACTGCAATTTAACCGACCTTTAACAAACATAATATAAAGCAGTACCTGTACACTTATAACGTCGACTTTTACAATGCGTGAAAATAATTTAACTTAGTTTTGTGAATGTAATTTTTCATAAAATATGGCTAAAGTGAAAATGAATTACGCATTATTTAAACAATTAGTGTTTAGAATTTGGTGAAGGGTTATAGAAAAAAAGATTATAATATAGTCAATATTTCTTTTTTTTTAAATTTAAAATTATTTTAAATTTTCTTTAATTAGTTTTATAATTTAAGTTAATTTTTGGTCACCCTCTTTTTTTTACTCTATTTATAAATAAATATGTTTCTTTTTCTTTTTTTTTTGGCTTTTTTCAAACAGTTGTATGTTTTTTTTTTCTTGTTGTTTATTGAGCATTCAAATCCAAGCCCTAATTATTATTATTATTGTTGCCGATAACGTGCAATTTTCGTTCATATTTAATTACCGGCAAGTATACAGAGTACAATATTGTTTTGTAGGTTACCCCGGTTGGGTTAGATTAGCGTGACGTTAATTTGTCTGTCGAAAATGAAACGTTCGTCGATAGATCCTTTTTTTTTTTTAAATCGTTTAAAATTATATACCTAAAATACAATGCGAATAGGTACATTCGAATTAATTTTACTTTTACACAATACTAAAATTTAACACATAACAGAAACAAAATACATTTTTTCTCGTAAATTATACATGTATGTTGCATTTCCCTAGAAAATCAATTTAATTATAACGGGATACGTGACATTACGACATTTTAACGTTTACAAGTAAACAATAAACTTATTTAGCCATAATTTCCTGCACGGGTTTTGCTCCCGGAACCCATGTCGAAAACAAAATAAAAATTTTCGTAAAACCGAAACCATTTTTTTTTTTTCTTGTACCTAACTTCCGAGTCCCGCTATACGATTATTATATGGTTTCAAAACCGGCCGGCCCGAGGGGGCGCGCAAAAGTAATATCCGTGTAGTCAATCGTCACGTCACGCGCGGTCAGACAGACTAGGAAATTAATAAATAATACGCCGTGGACAGTGGCGGATTTACGAGGGGGATCCAGGAGGTCCGGGTCCCCCCTCTCCCAGATACTGATATAATTTCAATCAAATGTCGTCCAACAAAGAGGCGTCTATTAATATAGCGATACATTATAAATACATATTATTTTTCAGGACCCCTCCCGGAAAAATGTTAAAATGTTAAATGGAAAAAAATCCGGTACTCGGGTCGCGGAACCCGAGAAAAATTACGTACAGCGTCTTCGACAGTACTCTCTCCTCTTGGCCGTACACCCTCCAGCCGGTAACGGAATCGGTGTACGGTAAGTGTTATATTATAGGAAAATCGTCGCGGTTTCCGGGCGAACAAAAGTGCATTTTCGGCATATTTCTATTTCGGGACTGTCTCGTACAGTCGCGTACCTAACGGGGTAGGGGGGGGCGTCGTATCGATTCGAAACGGACACACTGTACATAATATATTCAAAGGGTTTACATTATTATCTCTCCTCTTCGTCTCAAAACGCGTTCCTAAACTCGCGAAGTTATGTGCATACGCGAGCGCTGTATTTTATATCGCATTATTGTTATTATCATGGCTTGGCGTCGCGTCGAGTGAAAATTCGCGAAACATAATACACATCTGATGTTATTATATTAATAAGTAAAAAGCGATTTGTTTTGTTTATTCATTGTGCATCGGAAACGTGGGGATCCTGTAATATATCGCGAATAAAAACCCGTCGCGATCAATTTTACAACGATTAACGTTATAAATAGTATTTACTAGTGCGTTTCGTCTCCTTCTTTTTTTTCCCCTATTAGTCGCGTTGTATACTACGTCTATAAGAAAAGAAACTGCCGAAAAAACACACGCGACGTTCGACGAATAGCTGAGACGTAATCTCAATCGAAAAAATTGCACGTATAACGTTTCAGATCGATGTTGTAAAACACCCCCTCACACCTCTATTCGAAATTTCAGATTTTCGTTTACGAATTATGCGCAATGCGTCAAAATTTCAGAAATTTAATATTAATTTTTTTAAATACGCGGCGCACGTGATTTATTATGCCCTGAAAACTTTTCTGGAAATTTATTTTGAAATGCCACCCCCTTCCATGTAAAACGAATCCTAACGGTCGCGCCGTCGGTACGATAAAAATGTCGTCGATTTACGTAAGCTGCAGAAGCCGTTTTGTTAAAAAACGGTTCGTTTATCGATGAAAATGAATGCGCCGGAGGACAAAACACAACAACCGCACAGAATATGTTATTGATGTAGTCCGTTGCGTTTTTTCAGTCTTTTTTTTTCGATTTATAATAATCGTCCCCTAAATATTACGGTTGCGATTTCTCCGCGTTAGCTTCGTCCGACTCTGTTTTCGTTTATTCCTATACACGGTTTTTAAACTTTTCGATTTCCTTGTTCTTTTTTAAACGATCACGGGTAAGTATACATACAATACCCGTGTTTAGGGCACCGGCTCAACCTTTTAAAAATAAATAAAATACATAAAGTTAATTTTACGTGTGCACATCATATGAGTAAACGCTGCGAAATAAGGGAAGTAATATTTTCACATAAATATTTTTTTTATTCGGTAATAATTTAATTGAGATTTGATTTTTATATTGTTATTGAATATTATGCTAATGGCGCAATACAATTAGAGGAAAATTATTATTATTTTTTTTTTTGTAATTGAATATAGCCGGAATATAATAATTAAAAATCATTTTCGTACACAAAAAAAAAAAAAAAAACCCCGAACAAATTTGATGTGATTTATTTGAAATCGAAATCATATTATTATACACAGGACGAATTTATGTATTACGGAAATGCAGACATTTCTACGATAAACGGACAAATAATACACAAAAAAAAAAAAAAAACCATTTACTACAAAATCCTAATAATCGGTAATAGTTTTATGTAAAATTTCTCGTAAAATATTATATTTTATACGTTTTTTCGAAAATAACGTTTAATATTATTGCGAAGCACAAAACAGCAGTTCCGATCAGTTCGGGTTCGTCGCATCCGTAGATATAAACGATCGTCGAATCGTTGAGTAGGACTCGGATATTTTTAAACCCGAATAAAAATGAATTTGGATTATTAATTATTAATTATACGCAATACAATTCCCCTTTCGGAAGACTGAAATACACGAAAAGCACTGAATGATTGGTAAAATGATATTGCAGTTATTTTCGGATGGAATATCGTCCGAGAAAGTCGATACATGTCCGTGGAACCGCGGATCCGATAACTTGACTCGTACGAGATAACAAGCGCGGACCTATACGCGATCAAATAATTATCCGTGCCACGGATTCCAGACACACGGACGTGGTCTCAGTTATAAAATATGACAAGTGGAAACCCGGCTTAATTGTGCAATCCGAATACGTGTGTGTACGATTCGGTTATTTATCGAACGTTCATAATCAAAAATATCAAAAATCCGTGAAATCCGAAATATTTGGGTTATCGTTTTTTTGGTCGCGCACATTTTAAACGGAGCATTAAATCCACAAAAATCACGTCAGGAACCAACAGAACAGGAATATATTGTATTACTTGTACAATCATCAAGGTCCAGAGTGTCGTGAAATTATTTATCTCGCGAGTCGCGATAAAAATGAATTTTCGAAAAACTTTGAAAGTACATATGTTACGAATATTCGAACAGCATTCGAGTACCTACGATACGTCCGGATGTCAGATTATCCGAGTATTTAGAGAAAAATCCGAATGTACCGTGACCGAACAAACCGACGCCGAGAGGTTCGTTACAAAACGACCGACGGACAAATCGACTTTATCGACTGTACGACGATCGCATTGTTATTACCTGCACACCGACAATGACGTGGGGCCATTATAATTGTTTATTCGTTACGTATGGCACGGATAACAAACGCGTAATGCACTAGTGTACACTGTTCTGGATTTCGAATCGCGACGAATAATAATATAAGACGAGAAAAAAAAAAAAAAAAACCGAAACGGATCGTCATAGTTTTTACACACATGGCGGCTGTTAGTGTAAAACAAAACGGATAGTAAACCGACACAATGTCGTGATAAAACATTGTGACAATGAGAATCGACTGCGAGTCCGAGTCGAGTCCTTCGTAGTTATTAACCGTTTCTGTTGACGCTTCAACGTCAACTCGGTACGGTTTCCTATAGAACGGACCCGCGGGATATTTGTCTGCGCGATTCGTTCGACGGCGATCGTTTTGCGTTACTGTTCGCGGTCGACAACAAACGTTTAATCGCGCGCGATTTTCGCGGGGGGGGGGGGGGAAAGGGCTGCCGGGGGCTTCGGTTTTTCACGCTCCTGGAGTCCGCGGCCGTCTACCGTCGTTTCGCGCGGCGCATTATCCGCGGTCGCGTTTACCCGCACATTTTGACGGACAATTTTATACCGAATTAATAATCGTTCGGTGAGTCATCGCCGCGTGCGTGCGGTCTGAAAAAAAAAAAAACGAGCGTACGTATCATGACATAGTAATATTACATTGCGTACAGAGTTTGTTGTAACGTTACGGAAATGTTGCGCGCGCGATACGGGGGAGGGGGGGGGCGGGGCAACCGCGGTCGTCGCGGCCTGTAGGACGCGAAATATTGTTTTAACGTGATATCGGTATAAAAAAAAAAAAAAAAAAAATCAACAGATTTTATTTGTACAGCGTCGATTACAGCGCCGCCGACACCGAAATCATCTAAACAAATACGAAACATATTTTCGTAATTATTACAAAAATTGGGCGCCCGCCTATCCGGGACGTCGTGTATTGTTTTATTTTATAGAAAAAAAAAAAAAATAACTACGACCAAATGGTAACTAATTTACGCCAAAAAGTTTTTTTTTTTTTTTTTTATTATAACCAAATAAAACCTCTTCTCTTTTCCCTCTCTCTCTCTCTCTCTCTCTCTCTTTCCCACCCTGTGATATTATTATTTATTTTTTTTTTAATTTCGAATTTTTTAATATTGCATTTTAACTGTACGTCGTAAAATGCACTATATATAACATAAATACGCACACAATATAAATACGTATACATGTGCATAGTAAAGGTATTCGACTGCCGGTTCCCGGTCGGAACATTAACACATAAACATCAAAAGTATATAGCGATTCGTTTTCTTTTGTAACGTCTGGTGCTCAAATGTTTTAATGTTACCCGAACACGCCAATTTCATTATTCTTGCACGCGTATTATCTGATTTTTACTTCCACATGTTTTTTTTTTTCGAAATTACTCGGTTTTAATATAACGTATATATACCTACCGATATAATATATTTTTTTCGTTTTTGCCGTCATGCGCTTGCCAAAGCACACAGCGTGATTGATTTAATGTGCAGCCAGCATTGTACTTGTGTGTGTGTGTGTGTGTGTGTACCTTTACCTACATATTTTAATACTAATGAACTGGTTAATTTCTGCTGGGGTTTTTATTTTTCGTTAATTCTAGGTTACCCGCGCGGATTATAAATATAGCCGTATACATAAAATGCATTTGGGTAGGTTTACCCACCTACCTACCCGACGACCGGTTATGTTTTTTCGTATTATTATTATTATTATATTTTATTAAATAAAACGCTGGGAATTATTACACTATATTATTATACACTAATAATAGCGATTCGAATACTTACTACCGATATCGCGTAGGTACCTATAGTGTATAACGAATCTATTCATACGTGACGGTGAAAAGTCCGCGCATGAACGTGTCTCGATGTGTTTACTGAACATTTCAGAAAATACCTTTCGTTCCCGTACCTATACGACATTGGTTGTGAATCACGCTGTGGGGACGGATAAAACACGTACATTTTTCCTCGGTCTTTGTCGTTGTCGAATCGGGGGGAGGGGAATATGATGGTGAAGGTTCAAATACATACAAAATGCCAGTGCATTGCGGGGAGACAATCACACCAGGTGCAGATGCAGACTAAATCCTAACTCGACATTTACTTATTTTGCACTCTCTCGTCGTAGGGTCTTTGCAAGCGTAACGTTATTTTAATGGAAGCGTTTTAAGTTTTCGGGCGCGTTATCGTTGTTATCTGTGTTCCCCTTCCCCGTTAGACGTCAGTGTTCGGATTTTACCGTTTGTTCGTGGTTGTTTTTTTTTTTTTTTCTAACACGGAATTCGAGTAGATAAACGATGACACCACGAAACCGCTAAAACTTATAGTAAAACTGTGACGTCGATAACAATTGCATTTGATCTCAGCCGAGAAACGTGAACTCCTCGGTTAATAATTATTGAATACGTTTAAGACGACCTATATTAATATTTTGTTTTAGAGCTGGCCAATGAGAATTTTCGATATTTCAACAGTAATAATATAGTATAATTGCGTATATATGTATATATATATATAGGTATTATTATTAACGTTCCGATAAGACATAAATAAATTAACACGAATTGCGAACTTACGCGGATCTATTTAGGACTCGACGCAAGAAAGTTATTAACACCCGGGGTCGATAGAGTGTGATCGTGGAGCCGAGCTACAAAAAACGAATCCCGTTGTTGGCGAATTCGAGATGAGAAAATTCAATGGCGCTCTTCAAGAGCTACAACGTGCGAAATCATACGAAGCTTTCCTACGGCCGTACAACCTGGGGACGTTGGTATCCGACGACTCGGTCTCGCGTTCGTTTCGCCGTAAAGATTTTGCGCAACTGAAATTTGTCTCGATCGCGGATAATATTCTGTATCGATCATGACGTCGTTTTAACAATACGGCCGTCTATTCACAATATACAGTGTGTGAGCATTCTTGTTAATTTTCATGTTTCGATATTATTCCGATCGAAATCGATTTGTGCAGCTCATTCGACACCACACGTTTGGGCGAAATGTTTAAATTTTCTCTCGGGAATTTAATCTTTGAAATTTCAATATCCCGTATTATCCTGTGTTGGACAAATTACCAAAATGGCTCTGTTGTTAAATTCGTGAATCGCGACTTGCTGCGTTTTGTGAATAGAACCAGCCGAACAACACATATTTCAATTTTTAATAAAGACGGCTACTTATATTACCTCGTACGCCGCCGCGTCGTATCGTATTTCGATAATAATTTTACGTTATCGTCTTTTAAAACATTATCGGTTTCTTGTCGTTATTATTAGTATTATTACGTTATTATTTTCCGACGGCCGAATTATGATAATTTTACTTGGGTACAAATTAATGCGTTCGCGTCAACGCCGTTAGATTAATAATCGGGAGGAGCGGGAGGGGAGTTACCGAATTTGCCAACCAACGAGAAAAAAAGTTTATTAAAACGAATTTTTTTTTTTTCAATGTTCGATTCGTTCGATTACCACAGAACCGATGGCGTTAGCGTGTGTTCCCGCTACCATATTTTAGTACGCAATACGTATGAATTTGTATGCACATTTCCTCCCCTCCAAGTCAAAATAACGATCTAAAGCATTAAAATAAATTTGAAAATACAATAAATTTATTTGTATTCAACATGAGTTATTACATATATACATTGCATTGTTAATATATACAATTTAATACATATCTCTTTTCGACATTTAATACTTAATTTATGTAGCGTATGCAAAAATAAAACAAAAAATATCAATATAAATGAATATAACTTCGATAACGAAAAAAAAAAAAAATTTGTATAATATGGACTTAATTCATTTTATAAAATTCAATTAAGTTTAAGCTTAAAATAATTTTATTTTTTTTACCAGGTTCATAACTTCTAATTGACATTTGTATTATCATACATAGTTATTATTATTTAGATTATATTAATATTATATAATTATATGATAATTTTTAAATACCTACTACGTCATGTTATTATCTACATTGCGTGTTCAAATCTATAAACAATTTTATTTATTATTTTTTTTTTAAATAGTTTACAAGTGTAAAAGTTGATAACCCTAACTATTGATTTAATAACTCGTGCTGAATTCAAACATATTTATTGTATTTTTTAAATTTATTTCAATGCTTAGATCGTTGTTTGGACTCGAGAAGTGGTTGTACACATTTTGAAAGTGGGCATAGAAACTCGTACGAGTTGCGTGTTAAATATTAGCAAAAAAAAATTTACGAAAATCGTATGTGGAGGTGTTGATTATCGTCTTTCATCGTTATACACGTTATTTTCGAGACTTTTAAATTATGTAAATGTCTAAATAATAATTGTACATGAGCTTTTTTTTTTTTTAATTTTCAAAGTTATGAACAGTTAAAATCCGTCGGACAATATAACATTATCTAATATTCGACCTATGCGCATATTATTATTGTTTATAATTTGTGATGGCATACGGATCAAAAGATAAAATATAATTAAATTTAATATAAATGAACCGTTTGTGGATATTTTTAAATTTGTTTCCATTCGGTATTTCCGTTTTTGTGTCCATTAATCGGGGAATCGATTAGGACGTCTCTATGGATATTTACGTTAACAACTGCTATGATAACACATCAATTAATTTCTAAAATTATACTCCGAATACGATTGAAACACGTAGTTATTAACATTGTAAAGCCGACTCTGTAGAAAACCCATATTAATCTATTGAACGCACGTCCCACTCGTGTGTCTAAACCGTGAAAAACGTACTGTAGTAAGTTGTTCACGAGTAGTTATTGAACGTTACGGAAACCTCGTGACGAAAAAAATCGTTTTATCTCGAAACGAGTACGTTTCAGCGTAAAACAGCCCGTTATGGAAACTAAAGAACACGAGTTTAACTAAAGAATGGCTTAACCGTCAAGTTGAATATTAATTAAAAAAAAAAGTTTTTTTTCTTGAACTCGAATAACGAAAAATATCACTTTAATCTCGAACGACTACCGTTTCATCCGAGCAAATTGCAGAAAACCGATATTACTCTGCCTGGATACTTTTGTCGCCTTGGATTTTCGTGTGACGGGTGAAAATTCTAAATGCACTTTGAGCGGAAATATATTTATCTGTTTCACGTGAACGTGTTTTTGAACGAATTTCACGATTATACGATAATAATGTTGTTATCGTGTTGGTAATATAATTAATAATTATTACTGATACTTGCGATTAGGACCCGGAGTGCATTTTATATTTATACCGAAGCCAGTGTACACATGGCCGGTAAATTGTGGATTCGATACGTTTTCAGATTTTCTTTTTCTTTTCCTGTAGAATTTCGTTAAAATCGCATTATACTGTATGTATCGCTGTAACGTCTCGAAAAGAACTGCGTGGTGTGACCTCCTCTTAATATGCCGCACAGAAACACATCAGCATCCGAGGATACGCGTTCGGTAAGGGGGAGTGGAAATAAACATCGAATGTGTACCATTGGGGGCGGTCGGTGCGGTCAAGGGAATGGGGTGTGTGACCGTGCGACAGAAAGAAGAGAACAGTGAAAATAAGTCGGAAATCGTCGGTGTAACCGTTTGAACGAGGTCAAGAACTTCGGCGGGGTGACAAGCGAAGAAAAAAACGCGGTTCGCAGAGATGGCAACGGGAGGGGGGGAAATAAAAAATACCCGTCCACGCACGTATACGTATAGTATTATATTAGAAGGGAAGAAGTCACCCCGATAATAATGTACGCGCGTACCTACGTGTAATATTATTGTTATTATTATAAATTGCACTATATTTTTGTATACGGTCGCCGCCGCCGCAGCAGTCGGACGGTGGCGAGACGATGGGGTAGAGGGCGCTACGGTCGGCGGCGGCCGCGACGGCGGCGGTGGTGGACTCGCCGCCGCGGACCGCCGCGGTGCCGCGCTGCCCTGCCGACGAGGGGTTGTTTGGCCACCGCCGCCGTACAGTCAGTCCGAACGCAGTCGTCCCGTCGTCGCGACTTCTGCCGCTCGTCCTCGTCGCTATCGCCGCCGCCGCCGCCGCCGACACGTCGTCAACGAAATATTATTACCGTCTCGTCGAAACTTTTGAAATTTTCCACCGGAGTCCGTTCGCGCGCATCACACGTGGGTGTCTACCGCTACAACCCGACGACCGCGTCACGTACTTGTATAATAATATAATACGATTTGAATTTCGACCAACGCGATTTACACGTCATGTCGGCAAAACGGCGGTGAACCCATTACGCGAGAAACACGAAAAAATACGTCCGAGCGCCGACACTTGGCCCTCTCGTATTTAACGCGCGCAATTTTACACACACGTCAAAATTTCCGTTTTCCCGTCCGCCGCCGCCGCGATGTTGGCCATGTCGACGCTGATGATGCCCGCGGCAACGGTGACCACCATGACCAACCCGGCGCCGATAGCGATCGCTCAGCCGTCCAAGTTCGAACCCAAATACATACTCAGCCACAACCCGCCGCCGCCGCCGTTGACGGCCGCCGCGGTCGTGTCGCAGATGTCCGTCAACAAATCTGGTAAGACGATTCACCTTATATTGTGCGCGGTGGGAATCGAGAAAAAAAAAATCGCGGCAACTAATCGCCGTAATTCCACGCTCGCCACCCCCTACTCCCCTTACGGTTTATTCGATAATGTTTTCAACGGCATTCCGAAAAAAAAAAACCGGGGTTTCACATAGCGACGGCCCCGGCGATCGGCCGCGGTAATTTTGTGCCGTCGCCCGTCGTCGCGCGGACACCGTTGCCGCCACGCGACCGGAACAGCTGCCGCGGTATCGCAGACGACGGGCCGTGATGGTGGCAGCGGTCGTGCGGTTGTAAAATGGTCGCGCGGAAGTGTGACGAGGGTCGGGGGACGCCGGTCGGCCAGTCGCCACCTCTTCCGTCGCCGCCGCCGCCAGCCGCCGTTGTTTCGTAACGGTTTTCCATTGGCGGCGTTTGGCGGCCGAAAATGCCCAGGAATGAACGTTCATTTAGGGGCCCCCCACCACCATCACCACCACCACCACCACCACCACCATCACCACCACTACCACCACCACTCTCCCCTCTCGGCCCTTTTCGGCCCGACGATTTCCCCCGGCGGCGGGCTGAAATCGTTCACGTCGCGTTCTCCGTCGGTACGTTTTCAATTAGGTACACGGTTCCGGCCGGTTTTCGCGACGCACGATGGCGGTGTTTCGTTTCGCGGCCCCGCGATAATGTACCCGTTTACCCGATTCCCGGGTGTCGGGGCGAGACGCGAGACCGGTTTTCGGGTGTTTTTCCGATCGGGAGAGTCGCGGCGGGAAGACGCCGAAAGTGTTCATACTTTTCGCCCGTCCGTGTGATGTCGGCGACATGTTTTTTTTTTTTTGGTTTTATTTTTTAGTACTCATTTTTATGGAAAATAAATTTCAGTATACGAAATGAGTCATCGCCATCGATTCAATAATTATTATCTACTCGGCGTGTAGTCAGTAGTATGCTGCGCGTAATAACGACACAATAATATATTATTTATTTAATCCGGGGTTTTTTTTTTTTTTTTATCGTTTTAATCCGTAGGCCCAGGTACTTTATACTTGTATTTTATGGGTTTTTTTTTTTAATGTATACACGTAGAGGTATATCGCACGATACAGGCAATATCACTTTAAAAACTCTCAGACCTTATAAATATATAAAAAAAAAAAAAGGTAAAAAAAACTCTACGTACATATTCATACGCATTTGTTATATTATTCGTCGGCGTCGTCGAATAAACTTCCATAAATTCTTAATCGCGAATATACGTATTTTTTACGAAAAAAAAAAACTCGGGCGCGCGCGCGTAAACACATGTTCGACGGGATCGAGGACGGGGATGTATTGCTCGGAAGCGTAACTATCTGCACTATATCATACACTCCGGATATTCGTGTTAAATTCGAAATCAGAAAAATGATAGTTAAAAAATGTTTAGGTGCCTAAATCGTTATGAATTTTTAATAGTAAATATATGCCCGGAACAGAATGGATGCGAGTATTACGAGGTACGAGAGAATACGTCTCGTTTCGTCTTCCTTAGCGATTTGTTTTCCCCCGCACTGTAACAGTCGGTCAAACGATAAGAAACAACACTCGCATGTATAATATATGCTCGCAGAATCGCACAGGTTGGCAAAAAATGTTCGGTACATATCATCCGAATATTCTACTCGACGTCTGTCGTAGAGTGGTGAGCAATGCATTGGTTTTAATAAATAATGTTTATTTTTTTTTTTTTTTATCCGTCAGCAATTTTTCCACTGCAATAATCGTGCCCCGATGTACCAAATGCAGCGTCCGAAAGGGCATTTTATCTTTGTTGTGGTCATTTTTGAGCCGTTCCCATAATAATCGAGACAACTTATAAAGGTAAAACGGGAAAATTAACGTGCCTGTACATAATAGAAACTTCGCCCCGAATCGTTTTTCGTTGGCGACGGTTTATCGTCGCGCACAAGTGTAAATTAAATTCCCCTCTACATCCTACCCTGCCGGCTTCTCACCTACGTCAGTGGCCCACCCGTCGTGCGAAGTGTGTCCGTCTTTTTTAGTATCGTCGTATTATTACTTACACCCGCTCAACCTATGGCGGCGGTCAAATGATTTTGTCCCGGCGAGGAGGACGAGGCGGATTTTTTTGAACGATTTTTATTGTTATTCGCGTGATTTCCGTTTATGAATTATATACGGACAATATAATATAAAAAGTTCACGGGGGTGGAGGTGAAGAGAGAATTATGCAGACATCTCCCTTTTACCCGATCGTTTGCGGACCGTCCCGGACTTAACCTCTTATCCTTTTAGGTGTACTATGGTACTTATATTATTCTATGAGGTACTGATTCAAATGCGAATCGGAATATTCTGTTTTCGATATGCAGTGTTAAATTATATCAACGCTTTGTAATTAATTCATATTATTTAGAAATCCCGTTACAAGCATTGGTACAACACAATACTCGGTATTATTGTTATGTACGTTTGTTCCAATTGTTCTGCCCCCGCGGTCGACGCATAACGTTTGTTTTTCGACATTATGTCGAACTTGAAGGTAAAAAAAAAAATCGTAATTTTCGACAGGTTTTAGACGAAAATCATTCGCCAAGCCGTTTTTTACGTACAATGCTTCACTGTTATCAATTTTTATTTCCGTTTTATAATATAGCATATAATATTATGCTATAGCCGGTGAGAAATAATCCATAGGAAATGCAATATAGTCTGGTGCATATTGTTTTTGAAGAAGAAGAAGAAGAAGAAGGAAAACCGTAGGTACGGGTTTGTCAACAGTATAATTTTACCTTTTTTTTTTTTCATGCAGTTTTGTTTCGTCATGTTATTACACTATATTAACTTAATCCTTTTGCGTGGTTACTTGCAACAATGAACGGTATATAAAAGTCGCGGCGCGCGGAGTTCTCTGTATAGATATATAGGAAATCGGACACAGGTGGTTTGTTTTTTTTTCGTAAATCGGTTAATTCGCTGTCAACAGCACAATATTTATAATGTATCGAAAAACGGCGGGAAATTCGCACGTCGTCGTCATTAGAATCTCGTCGGTTGAAGTCTGGCTCTCGGGGTCGAAAATAAAAAAAAAAAAACCCCCGTCAAATATCGTAAAACCGTCTCTTAATATTTCCATCGCCCTCTCTCACGTTGTTATCGACGTTCTGCAGCAGTCGGAGTTTCCGTCTTCCTGTGAAAATACGCGAGTTTCCAACGTGTCGTCGAAAATGGTTAAAAAATTGAAAAATCGAAATTCTGACTGTCCGACGTTGTTTTAGATCGCTACACGAAC